ACACTCCTCTCACCCAGACAGACCCCCCCCTCCCCCCTCCCCCTCCCCCCGTCCCCCGTCCCTCCCCCCCATCGTCCTATTCTCTTCACTCACCCTTGACTCCCCCAACCCCCTCCTACCTCCTTCCCGCCCTCCACCTCCTCTTCCTCCTCCTTCATCACACAATCAACCAGCAGCAGCGTTTCAGTTATGACCACACACGCTCGTCTGCCTCACACACACACACACACACACACACACACACACACACACACACACACACACATACATTGAATATTCAGTTCAAACACAGCAGCTCGTGTTTGAGCTCTGAACAATGATTCACAACAGAAAGTCTTATCTCAGTTTGGACTTAGCTGCATGAACTTTAGCGAGCTGACAAAATGGAAAACTACGCTGACATCGTTTTTTTTATTTAATGTTCTGCACCCAGGAAGAACACACACTTTTTAAAAATGAAGCCAATGCAAGTTTCCTAAAATCTGCAGTTCCTCGAGTATCCACTAGGGGCAGACTGCAAAGTTTGCATAAACACCCTTCATATTAATGTTAATTTTTACAGCAGAAATAAAAACGTTCACAGCCTGGTTAAAACATGTATCAGCACACTCTGTGCAGCTGTGATTACTTTAAATTACTCATCAGTTTGAATTCACCAAGGCTAATACTTTTGCATAATAAGGGGCGTGGCTAAATTTACTGACAGGCGGGTGTTTTTGCACCAGCTCAACCTGGTCTGTTACTCGGCTGACTCAAAGTTAGGTTGAGACAGCATTTCCAACATGGCGACAGCCAGCGTGTGACACCACTGAGGCTACGTCCATATTTATACAGTCTATAGCTACACTGTGAGACGGGACAGACGAATGCGGCTGCACCAACTCTACACACCGACTGTCCACAAACACTTTCTCATGAATTAGCTCGTTTGGTTTTAAGCATCTCTGTTTTCACCGCCGTCCGTCTTCTGTCTCTGATGGAAAGACCGCTGTATCGGAGGAGGACAGCTGTCACGTCATGTCTGCTGGGAGTGTTTCATGGAAGTGATAAGAAAAATAGCTTTGCAGCACGTTCAGATGTTCAGCCCTGAGAAGGAAACACGATGAAAGACACCTCTGGTTGTTCATGTGATAAAAGAGTGTTTTTGATTGATTGCTTCATGTTAGTGACTGAACACTTTCTGTCTTTCTGTGCTTCTGTGTTTCAGCTGCAGCGTCATGACGAGCTCTGTGATGTCATCAGCAGCCAGCTGTTCACTGCAGGTTAGTCCGTCAGAGCTCACCTGAGCATGTGAGCGTTGGAAACAAACAGCGGAGGAGCGTGTTTACATCCACGCAGCCATGAGGTTAAAGATAAAAACATCAGAGAGCGACTGTCAGAAAATAAAAACAGAGGTCCAATGAGCATTTTAGTGATTTCATCGTGGCTACCTCCACAACTCTTAAAGGCACAGGATGTAAATTCCACCTCCAGGGGGCGCTCTCAATAAATCGTACAATAACAGAAGATGAAGTCGAGGCTGGTGAGGAATCATGGGAGTGATTCTGTCTGCAGAGATCGCTCCTGGAGCCATGCGTCTGCACGGCGTCTCATGCTCATGTCCAAGTTAGCATGTGAAGCAAACTGCTCTGAGCTCGATAAAGACATACAGATGTACCAGTTTCAAGATTATTTGTCACATGCTCATACAGATGTGCAGTGAAATGTAATACACATAAATACAGTAATATAGAAATATAATGTAACATTTAAAAAAAGAAATATTTGAATATACAAAATATAGAATCATATAAACAGTGTAAAGTGTCCAGTTTAATGTGTATACGGCTCTCTGTCCTCTATTGGTCGGTGTGTGTGTGTGTGTGTGTGTGTTTGTGTGTGTGTGTGCGTGCACCTGCACAGCTCCTGTCTCTTCCTCTTCTCGTCGTCCCGTGTCAGCGCTGTCACGGCTGTCCGCGCCTCTCGGCACTGCAGGACAGGCTGTTGGTTCGCTCGCTGTCACTCCGAATTTTTTTCAAATGTTCGGGAACATTCAACGCTGTCGGTGAGTTTGTGAGTCAGAGAAACCATCGAGTGTTGAGTGTACCCTTACACATGAGCTCACATCGGGCTGGAACACACAGCGCCGAGGGTGCATGCTCCACGCGCTGCACATGAACAACATTTATTCATGTGTTTCTGCTCAAACCACAGAGGAAGAGACGAAACTCAGGAAGCCTGAAGACGACATGCAACATTTATTTTATTTCACTAATAAATCATCTTGTTACATTTCAGATAACATCTCTGGTTATCCCAGGATAAACATTAGATTTTTATTTTCTTGAGATCTTAAATCTGTTATTCTACTCATCCCCGAGCTCTGGAGAAAACATCCAGCAATGACTCGTTATCAGGGGGAAACAGAGTGAAGTGAAACGTGTGGATGCATGTCCACTGACGGCTCAGCAGCATGTTGACATTCAGACTTCCTTTGAGACCTCAAAAAACTGCTGGGTTCATTTAAAGACTTGAAACAGTTGGATTAAGACTCCTTCTTAAAGGTCACTTGTGATGAAACATACACATCACCATGTTTTTCTTACACTAAATGTGGGGGTCCCTTAGCCCCCCCATCACACCTCTGAGACATTTATATTGAAGGCCAAACATCACAGGGACGTAAATATCCCGCCTGGAGACGGCAGAGTGAAAAGAGTTTATGACTCTAAATTCACTTCCTTCTGTGTTGATGAAGACTCTGAACTAGAGGTTGAGACCATAAAGTCGTTAGGAGAACGTTTACTGAGGAGATAAATCAGCTGACACGATGGACGACTGCTGCAGGGAATCCTGGGTTGAAGTGCCCCCTGCTGGTGGAAGACACATCTGCACTCACTGGCTTCACATTTATAATCAGAGACGACGTCCATTTCTTATATACAGTCTTTGTTGTCATGTCAGTTTTTTTAGGATAATTTAAATCTGCACAAAGGGATGCAAACTTTCTTCACATGCAGAGATGTGTCCTGTTGTCCTCAGCGGGTTAGTCATCCTCCGTCTCTATGGATCATCCTCTACCTGTGCAGGTGTCCGGTTCACATTCATCGCTGTCGGTGGGTTTGTGATTCTGTCAACTCGCTGATCGATGAATGACAACCGTGTCCATGCAAAACAAACAAACATCTCCCACACTGATCATCTGTGACAGGTGTTTGCTTCTGCTCAGGTGATGGATGTCAAACGTTTTCTTTTTGATTGTAACGGTCAGGAGTGTCAAAGAGAAAAGGTTCTGAATAAAGAGTCTTGAACAAATGTCGACTTTATTGTGTATTTGTCATCATTTTAGGGGTTTAACCCAATAAAGGAATAAATATTTATGATTTACAAACAAATCAAAGATTCACTGGAAGAAAAGTTTAGATCATCCGGCCAACAGAATAAAATCCAACTGAGGAGGAAAAAATCTGTTGTCGTATTTAAAGGAAGAATATGTGAGAGGAGGAGGAACATGAAGAACATAAAGATCAGAGATGACATGAGGCAACATGACTCTGATTATGTGTGTGCGTACATGTGTGTGTGTGTGTGTGTACATGTGTGTGTGTGTGTGTGTGTGCGTGTATGTGTGTGTGTTTGTGTGTGTGTGTGTGTGTGTTGCCTCCAGGCTGCGTAACAAGGTCACTGAGTGAGCTGCGTGTAAAAACACTGGAACAACAAAGAGAGAAACAGCGAGCGGGGAGACGTCCATGGGAGCAGACAGGTGGAACACGATGACATCAAGCAAACCATTTCATCCAATCAGTGATCGCCGCTTAGGAAACAACAGATTGACCCAGAAATACTTTTTACTGTCAGACGTGTGTTTGTTCTGCTGATGTTAAAGGTCGTTAGTGTCTCCTCCTTCAGTCGTCTCAAAGTCGATCTAACAGAACAATATCTTCCAACATGGAAGATGGCATCTCTCTCACGTCCACAGAGCGCCACGCTCGCCTCTTTTCAGCACTATAGTCTTAAATTCATTTTCATGTGACTGATGTTTGGATGTTTTCAGACCACGGGGAACAACGATAAAAATGTGAGATGTTCTCTGAATATCTGACCTGACAATAACAACACACTCGTTTAAGAAATCCTTGTGCCGGGTACGGGTCGTTTTTATTGATAAGGTTAACCAGTCAGAAATCTCCCTGTGTGAGTTTAAAACCATAAATCTTCCTGGAATGTGGATGTCTGTGGCCTCTGAGGACATTCAGGATGAAAATCTATATATAGTCTCCCAGAGATACACGACACCACAAGGTCACTCTGAGGTCAGCGTCAGGACGACTCACTTCCTGTAGGAGGCAGATGGACGTATAGATCTCGACCTTTGCTCTCCAATCGCTTTCAGAGTTCGATATTTAGTGTGTCTGAAACACGGGGAGCAGGTCTGGTGGGGTTGCCTTTCTGACCTGGCACCTCTCCTGCAACCAGACCAACTTACATATTTCAGTCCCCTGACCCTCTGGATCCCAAGCCGAGTCCCTCCAGACTGAGCTACAGCCGCCTGGAAACAGCTCATCGCATTACACTCTGCAGTCCATAAATAAAATTTAAAAAAGTGCACATAAGAGGCCGATCGAGACCAAGTCAAGACCAAGACCATAAATATCACTAAATCATCGTCCTGTGTTTAGGGGGCGTGTCCCTCACTTAGACTATAACACAGGGAAGGTTGCGGCCATAACCGGGGTTTAAAAATTAGACTACAAATGAACTGAAGTTTCCTTCACAGTGATGATGTGAGAAAGTGCCGATCAGTGGTAGTCTTGACCGGTCTTGATTTAAAATCCGGAGTCCGCCCAGACTGAGACCTTCAGAAAGTGGTTTAGATTCTGAGACGAGACTGAGACCTTCAGAAAGTGGTCTGGAGTCCTACAACTCTAGTTAATATTGATCATTGTAGTTGGTGGTTGTGATGTCTTTACTTGTTTTATTTCTACCTTTTTCTATTAAATTCATAATAAAAATGAATTCCAAACAGTCTGAACCTTTATTAGATCAACAAACATGTGATTCACATCCTGGTCTTCAGAAAATAAAACATTAAAGGAGCAGAAACTCAGAAACCCCTCCTCCATGGGACCAGCTGTGAACACATACCGCCCTCTAGTGTTCCACTCAGGGTACTGCATGCTGAGTGATGGAGGGCTGTGGATGAAATGAAATGTTCTCAGTGTCTGCGTGTCGTAAACGTCTTCAGGTTCAGGTGCCGGACTTCTTTAGACCTGTTGAAAAGAAATAAAGAAGCATTAAGAAGTTTCCTTTCCTCCACACTCACTCCGTCACACTGCGGCGTCTCCTCACCTCCTGCTGCGTCTGCGTTCAGCCGCCTTCTTGATCTCTCTCAGCAGAGTTTCTTTGTTTCTCTTCACGTTCTCTTTTGCCGTCTCCAACAAAAACTCCACTTTCTCCTGACTGAACGGAGGCTGGAAGGTGGAGCACGCCGCCATCTTTGTTTTCACCTCCTCTGCATCTGGAGCAGAAAAACAACATGATGTCATTCTGAACATTTGATAGAAGAGTTTGTTGTTGTTGTTGTTGGTGGTGTGGTTGTTGTTGTTGTTGTTGTTGTTATGAATAATTTATACTTTATTGATGCCACGAGGGAAATTCGTTTTCACACTCTGTCTAGTGAACATGCTACACACACATAGGCCGAAATACACACACATGCACAAACAGGATCCTATGGACCTGCACTAATGGCATTTCCCCGGCTCCTCGGAGAAAAGAGAGAGGTGGACCTCCTCATCGCTCTGGATTACTCGGCCGGTGAAGCCTTCACAGTGAGGCTCTCATGGCTCCTGGTGTTTGATTTAGTTTAGACACAGACTCTGAGAGACTGCAGGCCGGATCCACAGGATACCTGAGATTATATTTAAGAATGATCATCAGGCATCATATTGCAGAGAGGACGCTCAACGGAAGATGAAAATAAAAAAACAATATCTTTAGTGAGAGTGGACGCCAGTTTGAAAAGTGAACGAGATATTAAGATATTAAGTTGTTGGTAGTGATTGTTAGGGTTGTTGTTGTGGTTGTTGATGTTGTTTTGTTGTGGTTGTTGATGTTGTTTTGTTGTGGTTGTTGATGTTGTTTTGTTGTGGTTGTTGGTGTTGTTTGGTGTTGGTGTTGTTGTTTTGTTGTGTGGTGGTTGTTGATGTTGTTTTGTTGTGGTTGTTGATGTTGTTTGTTGTGGTTGTTGGTGTTGTTGTTGTTTGGTGTTGTTGTTGTTGGTGTTGTTGTTTTGTTGTTGTTGTTGGTGTTGTTGTTGAGGTTATTGTGGTTGTTAGTGTAGTTGTTGTTGTGGTTGTTGTTGTTGGCGGTGTTGTGGTGATTGTGGTTGTTAGTGTTGTTGTTTTTGTTAGCGGCGGTGTTGTTGTTGTTGTGGTTGTTGTTGTGGTTGTTGTTGTTGTGGTTGTTAGTGTGGTTATTGTGGTTGTTAGTGTGGTTGTTAGTGTTGTTGTTGGTGGTGGTGTTGTGGTTGTTGTTTTCGTGGTTGTTGTTGTTAGTGTTGTTGTGGCTGTTGTGGTTGTTGTTTTCGTGGTTGTTGTTGTTGGTGTGGTTGTTAGTGTTGTTTTGTTGTGGCTGTTATGGTTGTTGTTGATGTTGTTGGTGGTGTTGTGGTTGTTGGTGTTGTTGTTGTTCTTGGTGTTGTTGTGGTTGCTGGTGTTGTGGTTGTGAGTGTGGTTGTTGTTGTTGAGGTTATCGTGGTTGTTAGTGTGGTTGTTGTTGTTGTGGTTGTGGTTGTTGGTGGTGGTAGTGGTGTTGTGGTTGTTGTTTTTGTGGTTATTGTTGTGGTTGTTAGTGTGGTTGTTAGTGTTGTGGTTGTTGTTGATGTTGTTGGTGTTGTTGTGGTTGTTGGTGTTGTTGTGGTTGTTAGTGTTGTTGATAATGTTGTTTTGTTGTGGTTGTTGATGTTGTTATTGATGTTGTTTTGTTGTTTGTTGGTGTTGTTATTGTTGTTATTGTTGTTGGTTGTTGTTTTTGTTGTTGTTGTTGTTAGTGTTGTTTTTGTTAGTGTGGTTGTTGTGTTGTGGTTGTTGTTTTCGTGGTTGTTGTTGTTTGTTGTGTGGTGTTGATGTTGTTGTTGTTTGATGTTGTTGTTGATGTTGTGTTGTTGTTGTTGTTGTTGTGTGAGACCTTTGCAGTTGTTTCTGTTGAAGAGCGCATGAACACGATGGTGGGCTCCTTCTCTTTCCCCTCAAACACGTAGAAGTCCTTCGGACAGTCTCTCTCCTCCAGCAGGATTTTCTCGTCTATCTCGGGGAACGGCTTCTTCAGTTTGGCAGCGTAATCTCTGGCCGCGGTCAGAGTCTGCACGGACAGAAAACATCATCATCGTCTCTCTCCCCTCACACAGCAGCTGTTTCTGATAAAAGACTCGTATCATCATGATGTTATTAAAGTCTAAGCACGCCATTTCTGTACACAATAATAACCTTTATGAAAGCGTTATGAAGCGTGCCTAAATACACTTTGAGCTCATTTCTTCCTGCAGAAAACTCGATTTGTGACAGATTATTCAAACCTTTCTGTTTCACTTCTCTCGTCTCTCGTCGGATGTTTTCTCGCTGCCTTTGACCGCAAATCTGTTTCTTCATCTTAATATCTTGTTCACTTTTCAAACTGGCGTCCACTCTCGCTAAAGATATCGTTTTTTTATTTTCATCTTCCGTTGAGCGTCCTCTCTGCAATATGATGCCTGATGATCATTCTTAAATATAATCTCAGGTATCCTGTGGATCCGGCCTGCAGTCTCTCAGAGTCTGTGTCTAAACTAAATCAAACATTAGGAGCCATGAGAGCCTCACCGTGAAGGCTTCACTGGCCGAGTAATCCAGAGCGATGAGGAGGTCCACCTCTCTCTTTTCTCCGAGGAGCGGGGGAAACGCCATGTTCAACATCAGACCTGCGTCAATCAGCTGCAGGCGCTGCTTCAGTCTGACGCAGGACGGCACTGAAGCGTCTTCACAGCAACACAAGAACACAACGCAGCAGTCAGCAGATGTTTCCACTGAGCGAAACGTTTAGCACGAGGTGTCCACACTTTATGATTTCAGTACCTGGGTACAGGAAGAGGAAGTTTTCAATGGTTTCCCACTCCCATTTCCCAATCGCAGGAAAGACTTTCTGGGGCAATAAGGAGACTGAAAAACAAATAAAGAAAGTTAGTGAATGAGATGAGAAAGTTAAAGGAAGAAGATGTAACTTCTTGATCCAGCAGATTTTGCCCTTGAGCACCAGCATGAAACCAAAACAAACTGCTGTTAGGCCACGCCTCCTCCATACTGAAGCCTCCGCTCTCCTCCAGAGACACACCTCCAACCCCTCTCTCAACTTGTGTACAAACGATTCAACCGCAAGTGGGGGACAAAATCATCCTCGGCCCGAGCTGCGATCACCTGTGACCTGCGTTGTTGTGTTAGCATGCTAATGTTAGCGCTCTTTAGTTAGCTCATAGCTTCACATTGTTGTGTTAGCATGCTAATGTTAGCACTCTTTAGTTAGCTCATAGCTTCACATTGTTGTGTTAGCATGCTAATGTTAGCACTCTTTAGTTAGCTCGTAGCTTCACATTAGCTGTGTCCTGCATTGTTGTGTTAGCATGCTAATGTTAGCACTCTTTAGTAAGCTCGTAGCTTCACATTGTAAACTGACACAGAATGATCTAAAAACTCTTACTAACATCCAAATAATCAGTGAGTATGTTCTTCTTCTCTCTACTTCTTGACTAAAACAGCTTTTATACACAAGGGGAGGAGCCAGCCGTCCGGTCCATGTAAACACAGCTCTGACAACAACACAGCCAGTGGGACTCGAGCTTCTCACTCATTGTAGACAGCCATGACTCAGTGAGACATTTACACAGGATAGACTGGATTTATGATTTATTTATGTGGAACATGTCACACATTCTTCCTTTGAAGCCTGATTGATTTGTTCGGTCTCTAAGGGCAGCGAGAGAAACATCGGTGGTGTCTGTGTGTGTGTCTGTCTGTGTGTGTGAGTTCTCATTTTCTGGATTAAAAGCTCAGGAAGTAAGAAAGGTATCAGCACACCTCTATGACTCGCCCACGTCAGGCTTTTGTGCAGTGGATTTACAGCCACTGATCCTGTGCTGCATAGAATCTGTGCAATAACCCCAGACCCCAGACCCTAACCCGTTTGTAAGAGTCATGTCAAACAGTCCAACATTCAGGGAAACAATGCAGAGGAGTGGAGGTGATCAGGTGAAGAAGTTTCAGAGGAGAGACAATATTTAAACATCTTTACTTCCTGCACTGACCGTAATCTTTGACGGGTCCTTCATCCAGACTCTGGGACCAGGACTGCAGAGGCTCCAAAATCTTCTGACTCCACCGATCCAGGATCAGCTTACGTTGTTTTGGACTCTTCTTTCCAAACCATGCAGCCGGGTTTAAGTTTAAATTCTCTGGAAAAAACAAAAAGGAGGATTCATCACTGAGGGAATATCTCAACCCTAACCCTAACCCAGATCTCTGGCGCTCTCACCTCTCATCGTCTTCTGCAGCTTGTTCAGATCAGATATCACCTTTGGATCTTTGGTGTATCTCTTGATAATGTCCGTCACCTTTAACAGGGTGTGATATGCTCGCGCGTACCGGTCCAACACCTGAAAGAACCCGCTCACCTGCTGAGGAGCTGAGGCGCAGAAATATAAATATAAATGTGTTTCTATATAAAACATTCACACTGCAGAGTGTTCTTTAAAATCAGGTACCTTCAGTCCAGAGGAAAATCACATCCAGCAGGTTGTTTTCATCCGTCACTGCAGCGCCCGCCAGATCTAAACATGCACACTCCTTACTTCTTCTTCTGCATGTTTGAAATGTTACACACTTTGTAAATTAACTCAAAATGTTTACCTTTCAGCTGCTGGGGCAGAGAGTTTAAGACTGTCTGTTCATCTGATAGAACACTGCCCACTATACCTGCACCACACACACACACACACACACACACACACACACACACACACAGATACACGCTGTTAAAGATACACGCTGTTAAACGACACCTTAAATGACCTTGTAGCTCGCAGGAATGTATATGTTTTGCAGATAATAAAGAAGATAAATCTGCAGTTTTTTTAAAAACTGAAGTAATGTGTAATGTCAGATGCTTTTATTTTGAAAGAGTTAAGTTTTGCACCATGGGAGCATCTGGCAGCTGGGGGAGGGGGGGGGGCCTCTCTGGAAGTTTTTATCTATGTTTGTGTCTCTTCTGAGTTCCTCATGTTTACTCGACTTTGTTTGGAGCAAAGAGAGATCACACTCACCCTGCAGTCTCACTAAGTCCATCTCCCTCTGTCCTCCTGAAGCCGCTTCATGGACTCTGCTGCCCAGAAGAGACGAGTTCACAAAGAGACCCAGATCTGTGAAGCCGGACTCATGAGGGGTCAGCTCGAACCATTTACCTGAGACACAGACAGACAGACAGACAGACAGACAGACAGACAGACAGACACACAGACAGACACACAGATAGACAGACAGACACAGACAGACAGACAGACAGACACACAGACACACAGACAGACAGATAGACAGACAGACACACAGACACACAGACACACAGACACACAGACACACAGTCAGACAGACAGACAGACAGACAGACAGACAGGCAGACACACAGACAGACACACAGACACACAGACAGACAGACAGACAGACAGACAGACAGACAGGCAGACACACAGACAGACACACAGACAGACAGACAGACAGACAGACAGACACACAGACACACAGACACACAGACAGACAGACAGACAGACAGACACACAGACACACAGACACACAGACAGACAGACAGACAGACAGACACACAGACACACAGACAGACAGACAGACAGACAGGCAGACACACAGACAGACACACAGACAGATAGACAGACAGACAGACACACAGACACACAGACACACAGACACACAGACACACAGACAGACAGACAGACAGACAGACAGACAGACACACAGACACACAGACAGACAGACAGACAGACAGACACACAGACACACAGACACACAGACAGACAGACACACAGACAGACATGGTTTTCATGAATCGAGTATTTGGATTGGTTGACAATGAAACTCTGAACTCGGCGGTCGTCTCTGTCTTCTGTCTGTGCTCCTTTAAGACTTTTGTACTTTTGTACTTTTATAGTTTTGTAGTTCTTCCTGTTTGAGTGTGTTCTTTACCTTTTTCTGGTCCTTTTAGACAGTTTTGGTTCATAGCGTTGTAGATGGGGTACGGATTGACGGCGTTTGTAACGACCCCGGAGAGACGCTGATGGTCCAGCTGCAGAGGAAGGAGGAGGAAGATCAACATGTTAATGAGACAGACTGAAACTCTGAAAAGACTTCTGCCTGAACTCAAGCTGTTCTGTGTCACTCTTAATGATCTTTATGTATCTTTGCTCTCATCCTGTGCGCTGAACCAACCCTTAATGGAAGGTGTGTACCTGCTTCATGATCCCAGCCGAGGTCAGGAGCCCCCAGATGTCAGAGAGAGAGAATTGCTCGTCCTTCGCTGCCTCACTCAGCCACGACAGAACCTGCTCCGGACTGATCTCAGGACCTGACAGCCTGGACACAGCTCCGCCCACGTTCTTACTCCACTGAGGGTCAGTGTACAGCGACGCCATCGACCTGACAGACACGCAGAGAAATAAAAAACTTACTGAACTTAGTGTCAACACATCACCGTTTACGTCCAGTGAGTGTTCTCATATTTACCACACAGATCCAGAGACTCCTCCCAGGTAGAGCACCGAGTCCAGCAGACCGTCTTTCTCCATCTGATGGAGAGAACCCAGCAGACTGACAGCGGCTCTCTGACCTCCACCTGACCCCAGGACTGCGATGTGAGGAACGGTAGCCTTTAGAGGAAGAGAAGAAGAAAGTGGGTGATGACAAACCAGTATAACATCTCTGATCCTCCTGCAGGTGAAACCGTCTGCAGCTCAACCCAAACTGTCTCATAGAAACGCTGAACAACAGTTTCACTACATGCAGAAACAGAATAACATCAAATGAAAGGATTTGCATGTATTAGTTTCAAGTCATTGCTTGCAGGCTGCGTGCAAACACAGAGTTTGTCCTTTAACACAGAGAAGAATAACAGCTCTCCGTCTCACCAGTGAACACTTGACTCCCAGGTCGTTGAGCGCCTTCAGAGAGACTCTCTTCCTGTTCAGGATGAACTCTTTCTCTGCAGCAGACAGCGCCTGGGACTGACGCACATGATCCTGAAACACACACAGAGATAAGATGTAAACATGCAAGAAGCTAAATAAAAGACATTAGATTTAGCTTCTTTACATGCACTCTGTGAGTAGTTACACACATTAAGATGTTTTTCTCATAGTCCACTGCACAGCTCCTACATTACACCTTTTGTACATTGTGTTTTTTATTTTTATATTGCACATTTTTAAATTCTATTTTATATATTGTAATAGCTTCTTATACTGTATTATTTAAGTTGTTGCTAGTTCTGCTTTATTTCCTTGTTAATTGTTTAGCACCAATACACCAAGTCAAATTCCTTGTATGTGTAAATGTACTTGGCAATAAACCCCGATTTTGATTCTGATTCTGATAGATAGGATTTCAATCCATGACAAGGAACACGTCTACAATAAAGGGACTAAATGGAAAGGGTGAGCTCTGGAGGAGCACACTGGGAGCATCCTCTGTCAGTGCTGCAGACTGGAAATCAAGGAGGACCTGTCCCGGGGGGTAAAAACAGCCCAGAGGCCCCTCGGGTCATCAGACTTCTAACCACCCCACGTTCTGAACATAAACCTTTTGAAGACAGATCTTTGAGACCGTGTGAGATAGTTCTGCTTCACTTCTTAACTCTGTCTGTGAGTAATAATAACATGCTTTTGCAAATATCTGCTCTTTCCAAACATGAGGTGACATATTTAAAAGCAATAATCACACTTACAAACTCATGAATACATGTTAAAAACAGATGTTAATTGATTTTTCTGTAAGGTGACATTCAGTCCTTTACCTTGGTGGAAAACGTTGAATTCTTCTCCCTGGTGGTTTCAGGTGTTGGCCTCCTCTCTTCGGTCCGAACAGCGTTTGGCGTTTGACCGTCCCCGGGGTCACCAGTTTGTCCCAGAGTTCCCAGCATCACAGAACATGCACAGAGCAGAACAGAAACTCGGCTGGCTCCTGCACACAACATGGTCAGAGAACGGAGGAGGACACGCTTTGTTCATGACATCTCCCGTCCATATTTATACATGCAGCTGTGTGACGTCTCTGTGACCTTACAGAGACTTCTCCTCTGATTAGAGCGGCTTCATGTCCTCCATATCAGATTAGATTCAGTTATCTGAACAGAGGACAGAAGAGTGAGGCCCGGTGTCATACGTCCTTTAGCGTCTCTTTCTTCAAAACCATCAACTCTGCAGAACGTCTGCTCAACATAGAGAACATATCAGTAACACAAATATCTGCACAGAGGAACCAGAACATGTTCCCTCCAGAGTCCAAATGAAGAACTCACAGATGTCTGAAGAGAGAGATGCAGCCGGTCCGAAATCAGGAACAGTTTAAAGATTATTTTTCTCCATATGTAGAAAAACGTGATCATCATTAACAGCTGCGTTATCGCCTTGATCTCTAAATGTCTCCCATGTTTACTGAATTTATCTTAAAGCAGAACAGCTCACGTTCAAGTTCCTTCTCTTGTCATTTCAACCAGAAACAAACAGCGAGCTGAAAAGGTTCTTCCTCTACGACCGGGATGAATTGGAGAATGAAGAATGAAGAGGAATATGAGAATAAAGCTGCGATGAAGAGGCTTTAAAAACAGTTAAACCAGTAAAAGTGTCAAAACCAGAGCAGCCTCACTTAGAACGAGTCCCAGTTACTGGTACAGATAAAGACCATATCAGTGTTTGTAATACTGTATCCTCCTCCTCTGATATCAGTCTGTGCACTCCTTCAAAGTAAACTCACTTTTCACCTCAATGAACCCGTCTAACATTTTCTGTTCTCATCTTTATTTCACTCTGAACATTTCAAGGAGTGTTTAAGAATACCTGACCGATAAAACTCATTCTTCTAAAAGCATGCTCACAACCACTAACTCCCCGCTCCCCCCCCACATTACTCCTTCGTTGTTTTTTGTTTTGTTTTATGTTTTTGTCAAAGCGTCTTTGAGTTTTCAGAAAAGCACTTTATAAAACCAATGTATTATTATTATTATTATTATTATCATCATGTTTGAACTGTTGTCTACAGACTTTGGACGGAGGATATTTTCTGACAATGAGCCCAGATATGAGAACATGAAGTTCTCTGAATGCAGGATAAAGGTTTTAGATTTCAGGTTAACGTGACCGCAGTCGTCTTGATATGAGAGCGAACACTGCAGATATAACAATCCTCACTAAACGTTCCTGCACTAGAGATGATGATGTTTGCTTCTTTAAGGCAGGATCTCTTTATTGTCCAAACTTCCTGAACTGGATGATGTATCAGACTGAGCAGAGCGGTGAAAAAGACTCCTGATGAGTTCATGAAAACGTTGATCGAGGATGTGCATTTGTTTTTATTTGATCTGTGAGATGTACAAACTTCCTTCAGTTATTTCCTGTTTCTCAACATGTGAAGAAGGATTCTGTGTTGGTAGCCTCAACGTTCGCATGCTCACTCCGTGTACAGAGGGTTACGACCTGAAGAGTGGGCAGGGAGGGTCTGAATTTCTTGTATGTCATGCCCCTCTCTCTCAGTTTCTTATCCACCGTCTCGTCTCTACAATGAAGGCATAACGAGCAGAAAAATAAATCTCCTAATTGTTCTTTCTTGATGGATTACACTGTTCACTCAGGTGTGTGTGTCTGATTGACTCTCTGGTTTTTGAATGGGTGTGTATGTGACTTCCTGTGCTTCTGCAGCCAGCCTCTAGTGGACACTCCAGGAACTGCAGGATTTTACACTTCAGCTTGATTTCTCAACCCTGGAGGTTGCTGCTCGATTCAAACTCATCTAATGACAACAGGTCACCTGACTGAACTAAAGTACAGACTGAGCGCTGAAGCCTAGAACATTTTCAGATTTAAAATTGGTTCTGAAAGAAGAAATCTTTGAAAGATACATATTCTGATTAAAGATGTTTCATGTGTCAATCAAAGCCCAGAGAGAAAAGTAATATCAATCTGAATGTGAGCAAAAGGTAGACTGAGGATTAGAACAAACACTTAGCTGTGGGATGAACTATTGGGATGTTGAAAGGCGTTACACTTGTTCTGTCCGAGTATTCATCTTGGTTATTTTTCATAGATTAATCTTTAAATATGTGCCGTGGAGGAGAACTGGTCTGGTGATGTAACAGTATGTGTAAGATTGTTAAAATAGCAGATTGGATAGAAGCAAAGTGTCTGTAGAGAAACTAACAGGAGAGTTAGCAGAAGCTGAACTGTACATCTGAGATTTACAGGTAAATCATCTTTCAGAAGTGTTCCCCTATAGAAAGGAATGTGGAGACTGTACCTGCTAAGAGAATAAAAGCAACAAGAGAAGTCAGTCAGCCATCTGATTAACTTAAAATAATCCAAACAGACTCATGACTTTATTATTGAACCAATCCAGAAGAAACAAACACTGTCGGAGGGTTCCTAACCCCTCCCCCCTCTACCCGTACACACAAGACATTTTAAAAATGGCTGCCACAGCGCGAGTGTTTTTCATTTTAACAGACAAAGATTTAAAAAAAAAAAAAAAAAAAGACTGCAGACTGTTTGTAGTTATCCCAACCATTTATTCTGGACAGATTCTTTTAACCAAGGTGAGGTTTGACATAAAACGTCTGAAAAACAAAAACAAGCGCAGGAACATAAAAATGTTGGATCGAGGTTTTTTTTTTTTTTTTTTAACCTCTGATGTTAATAATTTCCTTTAATATTTTCCGATGATTGGAATGGCCTAGCAGCTCATTCAAGAGTTCCCGTTGAGGAAACCCCCCTCCGGATGGGACAAAGGGAGGGAGAAAAAAGAGATGGGGGGGGGGGGAAGGTGTGTGTGGGTGTGGCTCCAGGTTTACATGGCGAACAGGATGAGGAACGCCACCATCAGACAGAACAGACCCATAGCCTCAGAGAGGGCGAAGCCCAGAATGGCGTAGGAGAAGAGCTGCTGCTTCAGGGAGGGGTTCCTGTAGAGGGCGACAGAGAGACCAGTTCAGAAAGATCTTTACCTTTAGATTAGAGAACGAGTGAACAACTGAACATCTGCACAAAGAGTCTGATCATCACACGGGACGTCAAGTGTTCAGTACTGTTCCAGACTGAAGATTCTGATTGGTCCATTTAGTCTCGTTTGTTTGAGTTTAAAAAACAAGAATATCAGTCAAATGTTTTTATTTTAAATCAGTCGTCCTGCATGACGATTTTCTTGTGTTCAGCGAAATCAACAACGTGCAGCTTCTGTGTCTTTCAGTTCCGTCAGCTTTCACTTTGTGGAGTTCCACTCCTCCTCGCGACACGACGAGCTCTCAGTTTACGGGGAACGAAGAAGCGCTGCCCGACGCCGCTGTTAACGTTGATAAAGAACTATTTCAAATCAAGAGCGCAGGCAAGGTTTATTCTCAGAACAACGTGCAAACCTTTTCTTTAATGACGGTGACCTCGTCAGAAAAGACGTTTAAAAGTCGTGGAGCCGGCCTCGTCTGTCGCTTTCTTTCCCAGCACAGCGTGCAATACAAACCGAATGAGCATCAAGTTTTCAATCTCGTCACCTCGCATGCAGCGTGTGATGGTGGCAGCTGCACTCAGCAATGACGGCGAGCGTCTGCATTTTATACCGAGTCACCGCTGTATGAGACGCAGCACACTTTGAAGATGTTTTAAAACATTTTATACGCCTGATTTCACGGTAGACGTCTGACTTTCTGTTTTACACAACGCAACGCAATGCATGTGTCCCTGTTCAGTCAATAAAACGTAGCAGTGAGCAGTCTGAATGCAAACACTGAACTTTGACTTTATACCAAATATCAAAAGCTCTACAGCAGCAATACTTCAGTTCACATTTTTTTTTTAAAATCTCTATACTCTGAAGGTAAAAACACGGGACACAATTTTTATTCCTGCAGAAGTTTTTCATTTTAGTTTTTCAGTATTTTCATTTTAATGATCGCGGCTGATTTAATTTTTAATACCAAGTCACCTGTTGGAGCATCTTCAAACACTTCATATCAACGTGAATCTGTCGCTCCAGATATTATTCTGTCTTTATCTGACATTAAAAGAAAATCATGCAAGTCAAAACTAAGTGGAAAAAAATTGGATTCCACACACGTAGAGCTCTCCCCGTTACTCTCCAAGGAGAGGAGAGAATAGCATGCTCCCAGCGCGATGCTTTTTATGTAATTCAGTTGAGTGAGCGCCCGATGAGCAGACTAAGTCTGAAAGCCCGCCTCCTACTTGATTTGATTGGCTGCTTCGACTGAAAGTGACGCTGAGGAGTTCTGCAACGCCACACCTTGAACTGAAAAGTTAAAAATGTTGTCATTATTCATTGCGCCCCAAAAACGAGTAAAAAAAAAATGCATCGTGCAGCAGAGAAGAGCGCCAGGCAAGCTCGCTGTACCAAAGGAAAACAAAGGTTATGCTGGCGAGGCGTCTGTGTGATCGGCTTCTACAGATTCAAGACGAGTCTAAATGTTCAGGTTATAAAGTTTCATGATGATCATGTAAAATATGATTCATCAGTTTAGTCATAGCTTAGAATACTTGGACTTCCTTTTCCAGGAGCCAATCAGTGTTACAGAACCTACTGGCATCTAATCCCTGTTTACCGTCATTTACATTTTCCAGGTCGTGATTCTGAGCATTCTCTCAGAGGTACACACTCAGCGAGCATTACTTCATTTATAAAACAGATTAAAAGAATTAACCTGGCATAGCCGATGATGAGGCTGCCGAACACTGTTCCGATTCCAGCTCCTGATCCGGCCACGCCCACTGTGGCAGCACCAGCACCGATGAACTTGGCGGCGGTGTCGATGTCCCGGGAGACGGCGCTCGTCTGGAAGGAGCGGGCGAGGACTGCCGACTGGCTGACTGGCAACAGGGCCTGCAGGGCGAGGGAGACGGAAAAATAAATACTAGCACATGCTTCTCCTGCGTCAACCTGTAGCAG